TAACTTTTCCTTCAAAGAATTCCAAGGCCAAACAGATCTCATTAAAATTAGTATGACCATATTCAAAAAGTTCTTTGGTGGAAGAAAATGACCAACTGGTCTCTATTTCTGATTACCATGAAATAGGGAAATATGCACTTAGGATTTAGATGTTAAGCAGTAGAAAGATTTTCTCAAGAGTGTCTGGAATTAGTTAACTTATTTTAATGCAATGGCAAGAACAAGGTTCTACAAGGATGAGATGTTGGATGGTAACTTTGTTGTATATTTGAGATGGGTGGAATTTGGGAACAGTGGGATACGCATAGCAGAATTCATAGAAAATTCTGGAGAATGTGCACTAGATGCCAAGAAGTACATTTCTCATTTTAATAACTAAAAATAAATTTCAGGCCCAACTGCAGTGTTGCAGAAGACAGTGAGCCACTGTGCAATTCTGAGGCCACATGGGAAGCTGGGGTTCAGATCCCAGATTGGCCTGAATATACCAGGGACATATGTGCACGTGCACTGTGATCCTGGCTGGCTGGGAGACTGGGGGAGGATCACGGAATGGTGAGAGCCTGTCAGTGGTCTCTCTCTCTCTCCTTCTCTCTCTCATAAGAAATAAATAAAATAAACTTTTGAAAAATGTATTTCAGTTGTTTTCCTTCCTCAGAGGACTATAGGAGGGCTTGGTAGATCCCTTGGAAATCCAGGCCTAAGTTGGAGGCTCCTCTTTGGCAGACTAGTGAGAATGCAACCAGGACAGCTGGGCTCAGGGTCTTCATCTGGTTACTACGCTGTGTCCCATATCTGTGGTTCAGCGTGGAGGCCCGCAGAGGCTGCTGGAGGAAGACAGCGCCTGCTTTCTCTGGGCTACACCTTACATAAAAGCAGGAACTAAGAGAGTCCATTTAGCCTGTGATTTCCTTGTAAGCTCCAAAGAGATACCAATGACCCCATTTTAAAAGTATCTGAAAAAGAAAGCTGGCTTATGCTTGTTTCTACTCCAGCTAATTGCATTTGGCCCTGTTCTTCTAAATTGGCTTCCTTCGCTGTTTTGCCAAAGTACTTGTTCATAGTTCTGAATTATGCTAGTGCACCTGTCACCCTAGATAACTGCAAGACTCTCGAGGACAGGGTGGGTCTTCATTTTGTAATCAACAGCTTAGGAGATGTTCTGCTTGTATGTGTACCCTTACGTGTGTATGTATGTATATGCTTGTATATGTTTCTCACCTGGATTATGGTGGCGATGATGATAACAATAATATTAGAATGTAATTATTACTTTCTATGAACCAAGTCCTGGGGTGGGAAATTTATATTCTCTCATTTTTCTTAGCTCTGTGAGATAGGTTATTGTTATCATTCCTAATTTAGGAAAAGATTTTCCCAATGTCACATTCACAGGAAGTGACCAAGCCCTGAGTCAAGTCAAGGTCATTGAGAACAAAGTGGGTACATAACCCTCTGCGATCTCAGAATGTACCCACAACCTTCAAGCCTATTGCCATGGCTGTATGGGACATGACTATTGCACTTGATCATCAGATCAATGACTTCCTCTGAGGATATCAAAAAGTAAAAGGAGGGAACCGGCAGATGGCTTAATGGTTATGTTGCTGGACTCCCACATAGTTAACCCCAGTTCAGGTTCCAGACCCGGCAGCTTGAAATTCACGCCGGGCACGTGTGAGTGCATGCACAAAATCCCGAGAGGAGAATAGAGGAGAAGGGATTGTGGCATGGCCATCCCCCCTGACGAGTGATTTCTCACTTTCTGTCTCTTTGTCTCTCTCTGTCTCTCCAGTGAGTGGACACGTCTTATAGCAAAAATCTTTCTTGGAAAAAAAAAAAGATGAAAGGGAAATGCTCAGCCTCCCCCAGAAGGCATCTTAGAAGGGAAACAGTGAGTAGAGGTCAGGCTCCAGATTGGCTTCCCTGACCCATCATGGACCTTTCTTTCCACGGGCATCTTTGTATGTATAGATGTGGTATTTTGCATGTACACACATGTGCACACCCTTCCATCTTGTCTTGTTTCCTAAAGGATCCTAGGTAACTTAGTGAGATTTCAAAACACTATAAAATTTTTAAAAAATGTATTTAGATGAGAAATAGAAAAAAATTGAAACTGGGAACGAGGCTAATACAGAAACACTTCCTTTGAAATTCAATGTACTTGCTAATGTGGGCCCTAAATTGACTCCAAAATCTTTCTTTAGGTTTCAATATGAAATGGGAGCCCTGGTCAGTTACACGATTCACAGTGTCCATAGTAAAACACCAACTGATTGTGTCTGATGCAA